CCCTTCCCCTCCCCTCCCCTCCCCTCCCCCCGTACCTGCCCTGCACCTGTACTGGGAGCAGCCCCACACATCACCTGATCACAGCCCTTTCAGCCTCCGTGAGAAAAATGAAGCCCAAGAGAGCAGGGACGTGTTTGCCTTTCCTCCGGGGCGGCAGCCAGCTCCTTGCAGCTGGGAGTGTCCAGAGACACTTTCGACATTCCAGGCATCCTGTGCCTGCATGTCTGTCTGTGGGTGCCTCCTGGCGACACCACACCTGAGCCAGAACGACGCTGGAGATCACTTTTCCCTGTGGCCACTCTTCTGCTCTGGCTGCAGGCATTTGGCTGGCTGGTGACTTGAGGATCCTTTACTGGAATCATCATCATCCTTGTCTTCTCAGATGAGAGTCTTGGGACTCATCACAGAATTCCCTAGTGAGCAGAACTTCTCATCACCTGAACAGTCCCTGAAAAGGAGTTGGAATTTCTTCCTCCATATGCCCCTTTATGTCTAGCAGGTGCCTAATAAATATTTCCCAAATGAACAAATGCACCACTTTCTTACCCAAGGAGGGTCCACGGCTTTCATCTGATCCAAAGATTCTGTGACCAGAAAGGTTTAGGCAATCCATGTCTCCTAGTGGGCACCCTAACCCTCCAGAGAGGGAAGGGGCCGCTTGTGAGAGAAGGCACAGGAATGTTAGGCTTGGGATGGGGTGAGCAGAGCCATGGCCCAGGCTCTTCCCACTGGGGCAGTGCTGTGGTCCTCACATTGTTTTAGGGCAGGATTTACAGAGTTTCAGTCAGCAGCCGGAGCCTGCATTTGAAAGTAGGGACATTAATAATGAGTTTCCATTTCTGCAGCGTCGTCTTCCTAAGCGGCTCCCTGCCCCCGTGTTTAGATGGAGAAAGGGAAGGGAAGGTTCGGGAATGCTTGGAACAAATGTTTGGTTGCCACGCAAAGGCACTGGAAACCACTGCAAGGCTGCATTCCATCTTTGATAAAAATAAGTCGCCACTTCTGAACAAAAAAAAAAACGCCTGCTTGATGCCTGGCCAAGCCCAGCCGGTACTAGGAGAAGTCGGGTGGGGGGTGGGAAGCAGGCTTTCAACATTGGCTAATAGCCTGTAATGCTCCCCCGCCCCCTAACACTCACTGGAGCCAGTGAGACCAAGGGAATGTGCGCACTTCTCTAATGGGCTCTGAAGGAGAGTGGCTGCCAAGAAGGCCCTTCTCAGCAGGGTGGGGGTGGGGTGCCTATGGTCTGCTCAACTTTCCCTCTAGGCTGGGCCACAGGGGCATGGGGAGGCCCTAAATGCACTCATAGCCAGGAGCCTCACCTCACAGTCAGGCCTCTGTGAGGTAAGCCTGCAGGCTCAGGGGTGAGGAGGCCATTCCCAGACACCATGGGATGCTACCTCAGGACACAGGGCATGAAAGGTTCCAGCTTGGGTTAATGGCTGAGGCTTGTGAGGACAGGCCCAAGGCTTAGGAATGTGGGGGTGAAGCTGGGGCCCTAAAAACTCAGAGTGTGCAATTATTTGGCTTGCAAATTAGCCACTCAAATGGTGACATCAAACCAAATCTCTCTAAAAATCGAAACCAAAATAAATATAGCTGCCCAGAAAAATCAATTGAGCAAAATTCGAGACTGAAAATGATGTAAATGAGGCCTGGCGGTGTAGGTCTGTGAATCCCCCTGAGGCTGGAAGATGATAAGGTCAAGACCTGCCTGAGTTACAGAGTTCAAGGCCAGCTTAGTAAGATCCTGTCTCAAAATGTAGAAACGGAATATAGCTTGGTGTTACCAGGCAGTGTCCAACAAATATGAAGCCCTGTGTTCAATTCCCAGTACCCCATCGGTGTGTGTGTGTGTGTGTGTGTGTGTGTGTGTGTGTGTGTGTGTGTGTGAAATGGATGAATATAGACAATATATTTTCAATCTCCTCCACTCCCCTCTGACCTCCAGTTATTTCAGATTACAGGAAGGCATGGGCCGGGGGCAACAGTGGAAAGATACTCTACTTATGTAATGGACGAGGAAACAGGCCAGGAGGAAACGGCTTGTAACAAGTGTGGTTGCTTCCCTGGAGAGGGAGCTGCAAAACCTCAGGCCCTCACCTACCCATCTAGAAATTCTCCCCACTGTCTCTTAAGGAGAAGAGCATTTCAAATCAAATCATCTCTGTTACCCCAAGGATGGATTTTTTTCCAATTGAGGAAGAAGAGGCCCTGTAGGCAAGTACCCTGGGTACCTGGAGCGTGGCTCCTTAAGCAGGCATTCCTGAGTTTTCTCCACTGTGATTTGCCCAGATTTGCTCACTGTTCTGTGTTCCCTGGAAGAGAAAGAAGTCTGACTTCCTAGTTCCAGGGGCCAGGAAAGCTTCTGGAGGGGCCACCAGAACAGGCACCCTGTCCCCTCCCAGTCATCCAAGTAAAGCCAAGCCACATGCCCTTCTTTCTTATGGCTAATCTGTTTTGCTCCAAACGAAAATTGGGAGAGAGAATGGCTCTGTCTCCTGAGTCTGGATCCTCAGATGCTAAGTTTTCATCTCAGGGGCCGCAAGCCTGACATTAGGAATGCCGTGAAGGGTTAGAACACGGAGAGCTTGCCGGAACTTTGGGCCGATGTCACATCTGTCAGAGGCAAGACAAATAATGGACTTCCCAAGTGGCTGAGAGAGGAGGCTTGTGTGTGAACTCTATCCTTTCCTTTGGGATGTTGGGCTGAGAGAACAGCCCAGGAAGCCGCCCCAGGTGTCTCCTGAGGTCTTCTTCAGAAGATCTCAGAGTGTGACACCAGCTTTGCCACTGAGGTCCCTCCAAGAATTCTGGAGCTTGGGCCCTTTCTCAGTGGTTAATCATACTGTTCCGTGTGTAGAGTTAGAGACATCGATCAAATCTTATAGAGTGAAAAGGTTTTTGATGGTGACAGGGAATAGGAGCAGAGACTGTGTCCTGCTCTGGGGTTAGTCTTGGGGGAAGAGGTCCCAGCGAGGCGGTAGGTGGCTCAGAACAAAGGGAGAAGCAGGATCAAACGTTAATCTCTGTCGTCCCTCTACTTCTTTGGACATGGTGGAGTCTATTTGGGATCCCCCTTAGCCTTACTCAGTATGTGAACATTAGATGGAGTGGGAACAGAGTTCTTCCTTTTGTGGGACTGAACTGCTATAGGCCAAACTTGGCTGCAGTCCTAGAGGGCCCATGGAAAGTGAGCTCTCTGGAAACATGCTGGTGCCTGCCAGGCTGGCCTGATCTCACAGGAGGCCTCTTGATCAAGTATGTTGCTGGCTCCTGGAGGACGTTGCCAGGCAATGTGAGTCTCACACAAATATCCAGCGAGGCCTTAATCTCAACAGGCTCCCACAGTCACATGGGGCTCCAGGACTCAAGTTCAAGTGAGATCCTGGGTGATCTGTACCCTCCTCACCTACTCCCAAAGTCTTGCCATTGTCCAGTCATAGACTCGATGTCTGGGATGGTTTGTCACCTGGGTGGAAGGGCATTACCCCCATTGATTTGCTTGGTGTCAAATGAACCAGGTTGACTGTGGTTGGATAATACAGTGAGGGTTAGATTTTTCCATTTCTAATCAGTTGCTTAATTCTTCATGACAAATATTTTGGAGCACCTAGTATGTGGGAGTCAGAGTTATGCACCACCTTCTGGACAGTTACATCCATCTCTGCCCACTGTCCAAATGTTATTCATCAGTGTGGCATGGTGACGTTCCAGGTTTCAAAAATGTCCCCTCTACATGCTACATTTTCTTACTGGATGGTCATTTTATTATTTATACTTAATTACTTTTTGTGGTGCCAGTGATTGGAACCAAGGCCTTCGTGCATGCTAGGCCAGCACTCTACTGTTGAGTTGTATCCGAAGCCTCTTTCTTTCTTTTCTTTTTTTGAGACAGAGTTTCCCTGTGTATCCCTGTCTGTCCTGGAACTTGCTTTGTAGACCAGGCTGGCCTCGAACTCACAGAGACTCGCCTGCCTCTGTCTCCCGAGTGCTGGAATTAAATGTGTACGCCACCAGCGCCCGGGTTCTTTACCTTTCTTGGTTCTCTAATAAACAAGCTATTTGAGGAGTACCCTGCTGCAGAGTAGGCACCCTGGTATCTGGATAATAAGCACTGACTGGATGAACTCAGACTCGAGGAGATGAATTTTATGTGTAATCAAGGAATCCTCAGGGCGAGCATATTCTTCAAACTTGTAACTGCTTAGTCAAGGGGTAGGCTTACTCTTGACCACAACTTTTTGGTCACCTATGGGCAGCCAGCACCCTCCTGGCTTTTCCTTCTTGAGGAATCTATGTCTGTCCACGTTTTCCCAGGCCTATCTTTATTGATGGTTATTAAACACACACCACCACATGGCAATATGCAAGTACAAAGCAATTCCCAGGGTAAGGTACGTGGGAAGAAGCAAGATACCGCACTCCCAAACAATCCTCCTGTAATCGCCGCCTGCCATATCTATGTAAAGTTAATAAGTAAGATTTCAGCAGGCAGGTCCCATCATTGCAGAGCAGATAGAATGGGTAGGCCATGCATCCTCCCGGGAGGCTGGAGCAGAACATGAGGACACCTGGGGCAGGTGAACCCCGGGGGCCCTCACCCAGCAGACCATGCACAAGTGCAACAAATACCTGGGAAGAGGGGCCCTACTTCCTGCTTCCTCTAGCTTCTCTTTTCATGCCAGCTTCTCACGGAAGATTCTGTGGAGCCAAGAGGTAAATAGTAATCACCATTCAGACACACTGGGCGAAGTGTGACCGAGGCACACGAAACACCTGTTTTTATAGAGCACCCTGGCACACCTGTGGGTTTATGAGGCTGGGTGATAAAGGGGGCTGTAAAGTCAGAGCGGCAAGGTCCGGCCATTTAAACAGAGCCTTCCTCCGGGAGTGGCAGGTGATCCCCAGCTGAGATTTGACTGACCTGATGATTACTTGTACTAGGAATGTTGAGCACAGAGCCATATGTGTGCTCAGGAAAAGTGGGACAGCAGGATGTCTACCAAACAGACTTGGGAGCCAGGCTGCTTGAGTTGTTCAAGTTTCAGCTTATTCGATTTCTAGTTGTGTGACATTCAGGCCCTCAATTTTCTTACCTATTCTACAAATAAATAAATAAATAAATAAATAAATAAATAAATAAATAAATATAAACATATGTGTGAATATATTAGTATGTATTAATGTATGTATATATGTATACGTGTTTGTATATATACATGCATATATGTATATATGATACTTAACTTATAAACACAATGTACATGTTTAGATGTTTTTATTTTTCCTATATGTGTATCTCTGGTAAGTAAGTACTTTCATTCATATAAAAATATTTACACTGGGCGGTGGTGGCACATGCCTTCAATCCCAACACTTGGGAGGCAGAGTCAGGTGGATCTCTGAGTTTGAGGCTAGCCTGGTCTACAGAGTGAGTTCCAGGACAGCCAGGTCTACCCAGAGAAACCCTGTCTTGGAAAGCAAAAATAAAAACAACAAAAAGCACACAAAACGAAACAAAACACTCACAAGTTGTTAATATTTTCAAAGAAATAGATGGGAAAGCACTGTAATGAGTTGGACCGTGCATCTATTTGTCAAACCGGAAACTTCGACCCTGGTTAAATGAATCCCAGCTCTGAGACCAGGAGAAAGCTTTAATGAGTATCTGGCTGCTTCCTTTTCCAGGGAGGAGGATCTTACCACCCACACATTTTGGCTATCCTTTGGCTACTGGCAGAAGGGTGCAGAGCTTGGTATGGCCTTGAGATCATTGCAGTGAGCCCCAGATTCACAGACAGGAACCATCAGAATGGAGGAAGCCAAAGACAT